ATTCCCTCTGCAACTTGACTGTCGCATGTGTTCCCGCTGCAACTTGACTTGGTCATTTTCCTTCGTGGAGACTGTTCGGACCCTTGGCGGGCCGAACCTACTCCGGCCTACTGTTGGCCCACTTCCCTTGAACTTTAGCCCATGCTCCTGTATCATTCCTGGTCGCCTCTTTGGGACGACCTCAGTACTTAGGCCCATACTTAATTTGGGGTTTAATTTCTGACCCTCTGAAAAAACAGAACGTTGTGGCTGAAAGTAGTGCCGAAGCTGAATTTAGATCAGTGGCTCATGGAATTTGTAAAGCTTTGTGGATCGAGAGATTATTGGAAGACTTAAAAATTCCAAGAACATCACAAATGGAAGTTTACTGTAACAAGAAGGCAGCAAATGCAATTGCTCATAATCTTGTTCTTCACAACAGAACTAAGCATATGGAAGTCGACAAGCACTTTATCAACGAAAAGATTGAGAAGGAATTGATCTACATGTCTTATATACCCACTGCGGAGCAGATAGCAGATGTTCTTACAAAGGGACTAAACAAGAGGCAGTTCGACCACCTAATCTACAAGTTGGCCATAGAAGACATATTCAAACCAACTTGAGGGGGAGTATTGGAAATGGGAAGAAAATAATTCTGCCAGGATATGGCTGAATTCTTTAGGATATCACAGCTATAAATATCTAGATTTAGTCAATACTATAGAATAGGAAAGTTTATATTTAGAATTAGAATTAGTAACTAAATAGTAGCTATCAGTCCTCAGAATCAGTAGCTAATCAATCCCTTATTTTATGTCATGTATCTCCTATTAATAGAGGTGTTGTGTGTACATTGTTTAATATAAGAATAAGAAATATTATTCTTTCTAGCTTTCATTCAAAATAATAAAATCCAGTTTTCCAACTAGTACCAAGCATGTAGATTTTGAATTTCTGAACAAATTTAATTAAGGCATTTCAAAATGGCCTATTTGACTGATCAATAAATTAATGGAAGGAAAATAACACGGTGTAGCTTTTAATAGAGTAAATAGAACTTCAATTGGTGAACAATAATGCAAGACCCCAAATGTTCTAGCAAACACTCACATGGGTGTTGGTCCCACACCCATGTGAGTGGTAGATTTTTTGGTAAATTTTTTCATATCCCTAGGCATTTTTGCTCATTGGTGAAATATGGCAAGAGACGAAAACCACGAAAGAAAGACACGAAAAGGAGCATAATGTAACTACTAGGGAATCCTGGAAAACAAACTCACTTGGTAAGTCAACGAGAGATGGAAATAAGATGAACAAATAATCCAAGAGACATCAATGCTGGAAGCACACTTAGAAACGATTTTTCTGATCTGCATCAAAAAAGAACAGAAAAAAAATATATGTATGAAAGTCAGCAATGCCCTTCACTGCAGATTAAGTTCACAGTATCTCTGAAAGCATTCTTTTACATCCTCCTTTTTGAAATTAAATATATGTGTTTAGTTGTCAAATTTTCCATTAAGCTTAATTAGTTTCAATACGAAATTACTGTACCATATTTCGTTCCAACAAGGTTGGGAAGGTGCATAATAACTTTAAACATACAAAATAAGGTGTGGCATCACATAAGCAACGAAATTTATTTCTGAAGTAGCATTGACAAGACAAAAATAAAATAAAACTACAATTATGAATACCAATATATATGAAGGGTCTTGCTAAAAGGTGCCCTAGGACACGAAAAGTAGACCAAAAAATAAATTTGAAAACACAAGACACTTCTTATTAAATTCAATGCAGTTTTTATTGAAATTAATGCACTTTCTTTTAACTGTTTGACCTATTTTCAAGACACTTCCTTATTTCAATCCCAATATTCAGCACTTTTAACATTTGTCATTTACAAATATCAAGTTATAAGGACGCAACAATTGCACCAACTATAACTAAGATCATTTCAATAAAATAAATGAAATATATCGTTTAAGAACGGAACCAAAAAGATGACACAAGGAACTTACTTCTCTACATTTCATGAGCTTTAGCATTAATGGAAAAAACTACAAATGCAAGACTGATGTTAGAGGAGGATAAGATACCAAAATATTTGATATACATGTTTCATATTTCTTCTTTTCTACTTCTAAATCTGAAAATCCAGTCAAATAAAGAAACTAAATCCTATGCAAAGAATCATGCCAATCTCAAATCATACCTAAGGGAGTAATGTAGAGAAGTTAGTTAGAAATTTTCTCTTGTTAAGATTTCGAAAGTCAGTGTAGCAGCAACAACAGGGTCTAAAAATTCACTGCAATCAAACATTGGAAGAGTGATTTTCAAATATGATTTATCATATGATATGCATAAATAGAGAATAATTGTTAGATGAAATCATAATTTCATTTTTTCCCCACAAATAAACTATTGTGAAAGGACTACAAACTAAACCATCTTTACCGGCTCAAACATGAATGAATGAAGGTCCTCCTACTGCGATCAGCATCATGTAGAACCACCTCTCCAAAATAAAGAAAAAATAGACGAATTTCCTGAATAAAACTGTAGAATAAAAGAACAATGCTTACATTAGCACATATGTAAGCATAATGATGAGGGGAAGAACTAGGAGAGAGGTAAATATCAAGCACCAAAAATACTTCAACATTCCAAATAAATAGTAATTACAAGTTAATAACACCTGCAATCAATTTATGGTCATTTTTTTCCATGGTTTGTTTGGTTCTGCTTTGAATGAGAACCATCATGGCTCAAGCTTTGACAGCTTCTTAAGCTAGACAAGGTCTCTTCTTTTTTT